AGAAATTATCAGAAATATATTACTGTGGTGCAGTATGTAGTACATAATACTACTCGGGGATGAAAGTTTTCCGTCACTACGATGGATTTCCGTCAATTGGAAAAAATGAGGGGAAAAGAAACATGTAGCACATTGTTGTTGTTCTGCCGGTGTTCTGACGATTTGTTGGTAGCATAATCTGATAGGTAGCATTATTTGTCAGAACACCAGCACACCAAAAATCCTCCCCGCCACGGCTGCAGCTTCTCACTGACAACATAACGCCGCTCGCATCATTTATTAGCAGAGAACACAGAGCAGGTCTTGAATTTCAGGCGCAGGATTGCGGCTATCAATAATAATTATACTCATTCCCACAGGTTCCGCGCTTATAACGCGATGACAGATGAAACTTATCATTTGCACGTACTTTTGAGTCTTGAGAACTCTCATTTTCTGTGCGCCCACAGATCGCGATAAGGAGAGTGACAGATTTTAATAATTATTCAAGGAGTTTGCAAATGTGATATTGATTTAATACAACAGTTCAATAAACACGTACTGCCTGATTTTGCTCTATTTCATCAACGAAAATAGTTCCAAATAAAGTAACAGCTCAGCCACCTCACATCTCTAAAAGCACAGCGGTGTTTCATTCATGAATGAAAGTCCGTTTTTAAACGAATCTAGTGAGTCAGTGATTCATGATTACCCATTCATAAAGACAGCCACTTGCTTCATTCCTGAATGAATTAGCCGTTCAAACGAATCAATTGAATGAATGATTCAGTGACAGTGACTTGCTGACACCTACTGGCGGTTTTAATTTCATATTTAAAGTATCTTTTTTCTTATAATTTCAGATGAGTATTCAACATTTTATGTCTTATATATCAAAACATTATTTCTGCATTAGTAACTGCAGGTTAAATACATTGATGTCCTGCATTAAACAGTGTGTAAATACATCTAAATGCCACTTCCATTGAAGCTCGTTTCCTCTGCGTTGAAAAGATGAATTTTAATGATACTGATTTAATTTTCCTGATAAAAGTCCAAATGTCTTATTATTCTAAAAAACGGATTCCTTTAATTAAAAACAACTGGTTTGAGATTTATAGGCCTATCCCATTTTTGCCTCCCTCCCACTGTAAAAATGTAACCAAGTAATTTTTACTCTGAGTAAATTTTAAATGAGCTACTTTTTACTTTTACTTGAGTAGATTTTTAGACTGGTACTGTTACTTGTACTTAAGTAAAAGTACCATTACATTAATAAAATTTTATTTGAGTAGAATATTTTTGTACTCTTTCCACATCTGATGGCCATGAAATCTTTCATTTCCTTTCCCACATGTTTATCACAGTAAGAGATGCAAAAACGGTGATAAAAAGTGAATGACAAAATAAACCTGAAATTAGAAGGTTAGACAGTGAGGATTTAGAAAAAGAAACCATGCTTAAATATTTTTGAATTTGTGGAAATTTGTGACCATCCGGCAAACCAGAACAAAGCCACGTAAATGTAGGCTATATGGGCTCGAACGCCATCCAAAAGCATGGTCGCGATGTAACATTTTCCAGCTAACCAATTATTTCTCTAATAAACAAAGCTCTTATATGACACTTGTCATAATCAGAGTTTATAATTTGTAAATACATAATTGCTGGATTCAAAACAGCAATTAAAAGGCGCTGTGACCGACAATGACAATGTTTTCCCGGTGCATTCAATGATGTCACTAAACGGTGATGCCACAATAAGAGCATCGTTCACAAGTTTCTGCATGGACCTAACTAGCCTAGGGCACAGGTTCCCTTTCGATACTTCACTAGTACTGCGTCTTGCTTAGCATATGGGAAAAAAGCCTTTTTCTTCTGAACTGAAGCCTTTTTCATTCAGTGGTTCGTGCAGTGTATTAAAAAACGTACGAACCAATGGTTAGGCAGCGGAGCTGCACGAGCCTATGGCGTCGAAGCCCGCCAAGCCTGCCAAAGCCCGCCAGAATGGGCGGGGCGTCTGGCTATGTAAGCGGGTGTTCGCCACAGGATTCTCAGATTTCTTCTCCTTCAGCGATGACTCTACGCTCATCGCTGATCCTGAAAGCCTGCTCGCCGTTGACACGCCTTCGCAGCTGGAATCGGGACCTCTCAGCACAGCTGACCTGCTTCGCCGCCGCTATAGCGACGCAGCAGTTCCGGTTTGATTCCCCTG